ATATCATCCTGATATCAATGATTTTTTACTTTTTACAACCTTCATAACTGTCACTCTCATCCAAGCCACAATTGTCACATGCAAATGGAATCATAGATAAAGAAACATTTTTTCTTTTTTCTGCTACCATCAAGAAGGACCTAAGTTTGTCAGTAGAGTTTGGGATACAATATTTTTAAGATTTTAAAAAATTCTCTTTATGGTTGCATATATAAAATGCATAATATCTAACATATGGTTTGGGGGACACAGTGATTTTGATAAGAGTCTCTGAATATGGTCCCAACATGGCTTGATGGGGGATCAAATTTTTTTTACACAGATTTCTTCCCTTTGCTTTGTTTCAGTCCCTCTTGAACGCTTTGTCAACAGGGCACTTTGGCATTTTGAATGGGAAGGTGTCACTGTTCATCAAATTTAACTACATATACAACTGCATTTAATGTGCAATGTACACTAAAAAGCCTCCTTCAGAAATTATATGACTCAGCTTTACAATGTAACTTTTGCATCAAGACATTTTATCACAATAGAATTATCAACTCTAATTTGTTTATTTCTTTTCTCCCCTATAAATTAGGCCTCTCCCAGAACAGCAAGTACTTTTATCCTTTATTAATAGTACAAAGGGAAAATAACAAAGACGGGCATGGTTTGATATGTCCCCATGTCAAACTCTGAAGGGGGCATGGAGAAAGATCCTTCTAAGGGGTCTTTGTGTAACTCAGCCTGATAAAGACCCCTCCTAAAAAGTGTTCATACTTTATGATAGAGACTAAACTTATAAAGGAGATAAAAAAACAATATTTAAAGATCATTGTCCTCTTTAATCTCCTGTTACATAATTCCTTTTCCAGAGAGGTCAGTATATTAGTTATCTGTAGATGTGTAAAAATTACTCCAAATCTTAGCATCTTTTTATTTGTTTGTTTTATTAATCCTCACCTGAGGATATTTTTCCCATAGATTTTTTTTTTAAGAGAGAGAGAGTAAAAGGGAGAGGGAGAGACAGAGAGAGACAAATACAGATGTGAGAGAGACACATTGATTGCACAACTCCCACATGTGTCCCAACCTGGGCTAATGCTAAAGCCTGCAACTGAGACACATGCTCTTGACTGGAATCAAACCCGGGACTCTTCAGTCCACAGGTTGATGCTCTATCCACTGAGCCAAACTGGGGCTAGGGCCAAATCTTAGCATCTTTAAGCAATATTCATTATCTCACTGCTTCTGTGGAATGGGAGTTCCAGAGAAGCTTAGATGGATAGTTCTGCCTCAAGATCTCTCATGAAGTCAGAATCAAGCTGTTGGCAGGCCTGCAGTCATGTGGCACTGGAGGACCTGCTTCCAACCTCACTCAGTTGGTTGCAAGCAACCCTCCGTTCCTCACTGACTGCGGGCTGAGTACCTAAGTTCCCTGACGTGTAGGCTTCTCTATAGGGCTCCTCACAACTTGCTTCCTCAGAGCAAGTGATCCAAGAGAGCCCCAGCATGAGTAACAGTCTTTTTATAAATGAATCCAAGGGAAATGTCATCAGTTGTGTTTACAGCAGGTTCTCAGATGATGGCATTTCATTCAATTTCCTTTGGTTATACTGTTGATGAGAAAAAAAGCTTGATTCCAGGCTGGGGCCATTGTCAGTGTGAAGTTTGCATGTTCTCTTCATGTCTGTGTGGGTTTTCTCCAGGAACTCTGGTTTTCTCCTACACCCTAATGATGTGCACAAGAAGTGAATTGGCATGTCTGCATTGTCCCAGTCGAGTGAGTGTGGTGTGGATGTGAGTGTGAGTGTGCCCTGCAATGGACAGGTGTCCTGTATGGAGAAGCCTGTCCTGGCTCCCGGAGCTGCCAGGAGAGGAGGCTCTGGCCACCAGTGATCCTAAACTGGGATCAGCAGGTTGGAAAAGAATGATCTTGACCCTGGCTGGGTCGCTCAGTTGGTTAGCGTGTCATCCCCATGAGCCAAGGTTCCAGGTGCTATGTCATTCTTCATCGTTACTATATCCTTGCCATCATTTTTATGTACTCAATATCTGACAAATTTCTTAATCTCCATTTCATTTAGCTCTTCTGGAGAATTCTCTTGTTCTTTGGTTTTTGGCTTTTTTTTGTCTCCCCATTTTGGTTGTGTGTTTGAGTTTGTGTCTATGTATTAGGTAGACCTGCTACAACTCACAACCTCTTGTGCAGGACAATGTCAGATGCTGTTTGTGACTGGCTCTGAGTACCATGTTTGTAGCTATCAGCAATCCACAGCTTGTGGCTCCCCCTGCTGGGGCTGGTTGCCTTTGGAAAGGACCAAGATGCGCACCCTTGTCTGCTTTTCCTAGCCCAGGACGCTGAATTAAATCAGGCAAAAACTCAAAACCTCCAGAGACCTACCTCTTCCTGCAATCTGATTGTATACAGTCTTGATTAGCCAGCCTCAGGGGATGGACCACAGGGAGGGGCTAGAGTTTTCCAACAGGGCTCAGTAACTGCTTCTGCCTGTAGGCTGATTGTTATTCTCAGTCTCTTAATGGGCTAATGGGCTTCAGAAACTCCAAAGGGTAGGGCAAGTGTTTTCCAATAGGGTGTGGCAACTGCCTTCACCCCAGGCAAAAACAACCTCGTTTATTTGGTGTGAGTTAGCCTTTGAGTTTGACATGTTTGCACTAGAGCCTTCAAAATCCTTTCCTGCTCTTGGTTTCTGTCTCCCCTGTATTCAGGCTTGCCTGAAAACTCTTTAAATAGAGTTTATAATCCGCTTAGGCTGTGATCCACTTTGTTATGCTGGTGCCTTGCTGTGGTGATGTTAGTGAGGAAGAAGTGTTCTAGAGTTTCATGACTGAAACTCCATCTTTTAGTGGGCTGGTATCCCTGGCTCTGACCTTAGCAAGTGTGTCTTTTCTTGCTTTCCTCTTAGGTGCTTAGGGAGGTTAGAGAGGGACTTGAGTAAGGTTAGAGCCCTTCACCCAGGTGGGACAGGGTTCTGTGAAGCACTTTTCTCTGATAGCAGGCCTTTGTGATGGACAATGGCCGAGCTTATTTCACAATGATTACTCTGCTGGCTCCCTGTCAGATCTACACTGTGCATGGTATACGGTTCCTGGAAGTAAAGCCTACCAGCCCTTAAGACTACAGTCTTCAAAAGTTTCTCCTTCTCACATTAATCCACACTCACCACCGAGAGTCATTGGAAAGAAGCATATAAGTGACCAACATTTATCTGGTTTATGATGCCATTGGTTTCTGCCTGGAAGTTCTCTGAATCACTTTCAGTTTTAGGTGTAGAGGGAGAGCACTAATGACAATTTTTCTAGATTTGGGGATTCATCTTCCTACATTAAACCCTTTATTTCAAGAGCAGGGTCATTGTTCATGGGTAACAAAATCAATTACCCCATCAGTTTGGGTGAAATAATTTATGATCAGGACAAAGCGGCATCAGAGGTCATGGCACTCTGGTCATAATGGTAGACCGTAGATTCCTGCCAGGCTGCCAACCTTGAGGGTGCCAGTCATGGGATATGCTATATGTTGAACTGTTTGCCCCCTCATTTTTTTTTGATCTGTATTATCTTACCAGGAGCAATTTCCCCCCAGCAATACATTTATATGCTGAAACAGACTACACTTGAGAGCACCATTCATAAAGCTTTCCCTCCTGTCCAACTGCAAGAACCATGCACTTAACCTGCAAGTGACAGGCAGTATGCATTTAGTTATAAAGGGCCTGGTGTGCATCTCTCATTAAGAGCCAGAGTGAGTCCTCGTTTGCTCATAAGAGTCCCGACTGGAGATTTTATAAAACAAGATAAATTTCACTAAGGAGGTGGCCACCTATTAATTTCAATGGGAAAAAAAAGAGAGACAAGAAAAGGGAAAAAAATCTAATGTTTACTTCATGCAGCCCAAGTTCTAAATATCTTTATATATTTTCATTAAATTAAGTTCACACATCACAATAGTCTAAAATATGTATGATTATTCTATTTATAGATGTAAAAAACAATGAACAAGTTCTGGCTGGTGGGGCTTAGTTGGTTGGGTATCTTCCTGTGCACTGAAAGGTTTCTGGTTAGACCCCTAGTCAGAGCACATGCCAGAGTTGCAGACTTGATCCCCGGTGTGGGGCATGCAGGAGGCAGCAGATCAATGTGATCTTACATTGATGTTTCGCTCACCCTCTCTTTTCCTCTCTATCTAAAAATCAATAAATTAAAAAAATCTTAAAGATATTATAAAAAACAATGAATAAGACAAAGGAAAGTAGTAAATATATAAATCAGATCACATTAGATGCCACTCCTTGCAGATTTTCTCCTTTTTCTACATAACCATTTATTTCTTTTCTACTCTTTATTTCCCATCAGCATATATGCATGCTCATTTTGTCATATTTTTAAAAATAGCAAAATACTTTTTTCGTCCTATCTCTATAGCTACTGTCCCACTTTGTCTCCTGTCCCTCAGAGTAAAACTCTTAGGAAATATCTACCTGTATTATCTGAAATTCCTCTCCTCTCCTTCTCTCTAAAATCTACTCTGATTGGGCTTTTATATCCACTCACCGCTTAGGAAGTGCCTTTATACTCTTTAATCAAAGCAGCACTGGAGATAATCTGCTTAAACTGTGGGCCATTTGCCCTTGGTGTACAGATAGGAGAGCAAAGGAGAGGTGCCCTGTCAGTGTACCAGTCTGCTCACTTCCTCCCTAGTAAGACAGGCATCCCTGTCTTATGTTTATTCAAGTAGTAAAATACTTCAGCATTACATATGTTATTGACTACTGGGATGAATTCTACCTTTTTTTAAAAAATCATTTTAAGGAAATACTTCTCTTCCTGGCTCACTGAGCATTTTTTCCTTTTCATATAGACATTGAATTTCATCAAAATTTTATCAGACTGCATGGATATAATACAGTATACCTTTTGCACTCTGAGATAAGAAATAGCTGCAATTATTCCACTCCCTTCATGGACCCCTCTTGCAATATAACTCTGCAGAGCACAGGACGAGAGCCACAGAGCAGCCGCTAGCCAGGCCATCCCCAAGCACGCAAGGCCGTTTCCTCAGTTCAGCAGTGCTGCCTGCCCCACCGACCCTGGGCCCACTGACTCCTGAGCAATAAAAAGTGTGTATTATTTTAAACAAATACGTTTTGAAATTAGTTTTACACAGAAAGAAAAATAACTATAGAATAATCCTATATGATAAAAGTCTAATGTGCAGATTGTCCCCTCCGGCAGTTGTTCAACTGGGAGTTCACCACTTGCTCTGATGTGTGCTGACCCCCAGGGGGCGGCACGGAACATGGCAGGAGTCAGAGATGCACGCTGGCAGTGGGCGGCAGTGGAGACCTGGTCAAGAGCGGGACAGCAGTGGGATGGTGGAGCAGGTGAGTGGGCGGTGCCAGGCCAAGGCAGGTGAGAGTGGGGACGGAATTGCCCTGCCAATCACCCCACAGACAATGACCAGGGTGGCAGTGGGGCCGAGAGGGGGGAGGGGCGGGGGGGCGCTGTCTAACTCCCAGGTGTTGAGGGAGCTGGGCAGGGGGCCCAGCTCTGATGGATTGCTCCGCAAGTGGGATGGTGGAGCAGGTGAGGGGGTGGCGCCAGGCCACGGCAGAGTGCCAGTCAGGGCTGCAGGGCTGCGAGGCTGGGGGTGCGAGCTGGGGCCCATGTCAGCTAGTTGCTGATGGAACACTGATTTGAACTAAAGTCTGTCTACTGGTACCTTCTAATCTTCCTGATACTTTACCTTACCCTGCCAGGAAAGGGTGAGGATTCACTTCATCATTAGATTGCTTCCAAAATGAGCTGGTGTGGTTCAGCCAGGCTCCAAGGACCTGGAGACATGCATGGTGAGAAGATTCTTGCTGAGCCATTGCAAATTTTCCAAATGGCTCCCAAGGCTCTAAGGAGGTCATCACTCAACTGCTTCCTAAGCAAATTGCTTTGTGTTCATTGACAGATTTTTAAAGATTTGAACCCACTATAAAAATTACCAATTTCCAGAGGAAAAGAAAAATAAGTCTCTGCTGTATTTAATAGTCTATAAAACTCAGTGCACCCTGGACCCCCAGTCTCTTCTAAGCAGAGTCCATACCAGGGTGATCCTTGCATGTAATTTCCCGCATTTTCTGTCACTTAGCCCCGTTAACCTGGCTAGGGTGGATTGCATCAGGAGTCTGGGAAGAGTAGTGATGAGTCCATTGTAAGGGCCAGTTTAAGGAGTAATTTGGCACAAGAGTGACCAGTGGGTGCACTCTGACAATGAATAAAGAACATGCCTCATTAGATTCTCTGTCTTGAGGAATTTAGGTTGTAAATGAGAGAGAGAAAAAGACAGAGAGAGAGAGAGAGAGAGAGAGAGAGAGAGAGAGAGAGAGAGAGAGAGAGAGAGAGAGAGAGAGAGAGAGAGAGAGAGAGAGAGAGAGAGAGAGAGAGAGAGAGAGAGAGAGAGAGAGAGAGAGAGAGAGAGAGAGAGAGAGAGAGAGAGAGAGAGAGAGAGAGAGAGAGAGATAAGAAAATAAGGCAGAGTCATGAAAATAGAGTTATGAATGTGGTAAAATTATTAGAGAAGTACAGGCAGATTCTTCCAATAGTATGCCAAAGTGAAAGACAAGGTCAACAACACTGCTGCTCAGTTCCTAGGATTTTGTCACTGGTAGTATAATGCCAGCTACTGTTTGCTGAGTTTTCTTGTGCCAGGCACAGTGCTAGGCTTTGGCACATAGTCTCCAATATGTCACAGTCACTAAGTGTTGCTGAGTGACCTTGGAGCTGCTCTGGTACCTGAATGGCGAGGAACATCATTCTCATTGGTATAAGGCCTGACCTTGGCATTACTGACACACACACCTGTGCTTGCTGACTTCTCGGGCATCCTGACAAGACTCCATCATCAGAAGCTGAGAAGCATATGTTCACTCTCGAACCTGAAATCTCCTCATACTAGAAACTGACAGCCTAAAAGAAGAGTAACCAAAGCACGTGATGCTTAATTGGTTGCTACCACTGTTCGCCATATCAGTAAAGAATGGGTTAAATCCTTCACCATCTCCAGAAGTCACCATCTGTTGTTTAGTCTTTAATTGATGTAAAGAGATGTTTCCAGAAATATCCAAATATTCCGGTGTTCACAGAAACTGCTGGCAGATTAGTGGGTCAGCCCTGCAGATGGTGCCAGGGCCAGTCCGCAACGTGGGCAGCTGTGGCCCTACCTGGGCAAGGTGGCCATCCCCTCACCACACGGATCACAGTGCTGCCAACACCACTCAAGTCTTTGCATTGAGGTTACTCTGGAGATGGGACTTGGGAGCTGGAAGATGAAGGTGCCTGAGGCACAATATATCCTTCCACTTTAGCAGTATATAGAGGGCACCAACATGGAACCAATAAAGGTAACGCAGAACATAATGAGTGAGAGTAAATATTGAGTAAAAAAATAAAAATATCCAAAAGCAAGTTCTTTGAAAAAACTATAGTTTTTTTTTTTTTAAATCACATGCAAGTCTAATTAACAGCAAAGATAAGATTATACAAACTTTTAACATTAAAAAATTTAGTTAACTAGGGCAGAATATGTTCTTACTATCGTAAAGAATACACAAAAACTCATAAAATGAAGGAAAAATTTAGATCCTCAGAACTAAGGTATATTCCAGAGAATATTTTGGAAAGTTCATTTAAATGTTATAGTTCAAGCGTATATTTAGAAATCAAAATGTTTATTATTTATGTGGTTTCACATATACACAATTCTATAATATTTAGTATGTATTTATGTATTTTTAAATAGCAATTAAGTTTTATGCTTTATAACCTGATCATATAAATATGAAAAGATGTTCATTGTGTATAAAAGCAGAATGTAAAATATACAATTTAACTCCTATTAAAAATTTATATATAAATATATACAAAAATTTT